TTTCAGCTCGATTGGACCACTATTGGCTGAAATTCATTTGGCGTCGTCAAAAAAAATCAATAATTTTAGGTATAAAAATGGTCTAATTAAGGTCACTAATGCTCTAATAAGGGAAATTTGAGTGGTTTTAGGGTTTTCAGACCCGCAAAAAATTTCTAGCCAAGTTTCAGCTCGATTGGACCACTATTGGCTGAAATTCATTTGGCGTCGTCACAAAAAATCAATAATTTTAGGTATAAAAATGGTCTAATTAAGGCCTTTAATGCTCTAATAAGGGAAATTTGAGTGGTTTTAGGGTTTTCAGACCCGCAAAAAATTTCTAGCCAAGTTTCAGCTCGATTGGACCACTATTGGCTGAAATTCATTTGGCGTCGTCACAAAAAATCAATAATTTTAGGTTAGGTATAAAAATGGTCTAATTAAGGTCACTAATGCTCTAATAAGGGAAATTTGAGTGGTTTTAGGGTTTTCAGAACCGCAAAAAATTTCTAGCCAAGTTTCAGCTCGATTGGACCACTATTGGCTGAAATTCATTTGGCGTCGTCACAAAAAATCAATAATTTTAGGTATAAAAATGGTCTAATTAAGGTCACTAATGCTCTAATAAGGGAAATTTGAGTGGTTTTAGGGTTTTCAGAACCGCCAAAAATTTCTAGCCAAGTTTCAGCTCGATTGGACCACTATTGGCTGAAATTCATTTGGCGTCGTCACAAAAAATCAATAATTTTAGGTATAAAAATGGTCTAATTAAGGTCTTTAATGCTCTAATAAGGGAAATTTGAGTGGTTTTAGGGTTTTCAGAACCGCAAAAAATTTCTAGCCAAGTTTCAGCTCGATTGGACCACTATTGGCTGAAATTCATTTGGCGTCGTCACAAAAAATCAATAATTTTAGGTATAAAAATGGTCTAATTAAGGTCACTAATGCTCTAATAAGGGAAATTTGAGTGGTTTTAGGGTTTTTAGTTTTAAACCCGCAAAAATTTTTTCTAGCCAAGTTTTCGGCTCGTTGGACCACTATTGGCTGAAATTCATTTGGCGTCGTCACAAAAAATCAATAATTTTAGGTATAAAAATGGTCTAATTAAGGTCACTAATGCTCTAATAAGGGAAATTTGAGTGGTTTTAGGGTTTTCAGACCCGCAAAAAATTTCTAGCCAAGTTTCAGCTCGATTGGACCACTATTGGCTGAAATTCATTTGGCGTCGTCATAAAAAATCAATAATTTTAGGTATAAAAATGGTCTAATTGAGGTCACTAATGCTCTAATAAGGAAAATTTGAGTGGTTTTAGGGTTTTCAGAACCGCAAAAAATTTCTAGCCAAGTTTCAGCTCGATTGGACCACTATTGGCTGAAATTCATTTGGTGTGGTCATAAAAAATTGTTAATTTTAGGTATAAAAATGGTCTAATTAAGGTCTTTAATGCTCTAATAAGGGAAATTTGAGTGGTTTTAGGGTTTTCAGAACCGCAAAAAATTTCTAGCCAAGTTTCAGCTCGATTGGACCACTATTGGCTGAAATTCATTTGGCGTCGTCACAAAAAATCAATAATTTTAGGTATAAAAATGGTCTAATTAAGGTCTTTAATGCTCTAATAAGGGAAATTTGAGTGGTTTTAGGGTTTTCAGAACCGCCAAAAATTTCTAGCCAAGTTTCAGCTCGATTGGACCACTATTGGCTGAAATTCATTTGGCGTGGTCATAAAAAATTGTTAATTTTAGGTATAAAAATGGTCTAATTAAGGTCTTTAAAATTTTAAAAAGAAAAAATTAAATTTTTTTTTTTTTTTAAAAAAAAAAAAAATTTCTAGCCAAGTTTCAGCTCGATTGGACCACTATTGGCTGAAATTCATTTGGCGTCGTCAAAAAAAATCAATAATTTTAGGTATAAAAATGGTCTAATTAAGGTCTTTAATGCTCTAATCCTTTTCGACACAATCAACAACCATTTCCTGAGTTTTCACAGTTGCAAAACAATTTTGCGCAAGGGGGACTCGAACCCCCAGTGAACAGAAAGTAGGTTGGTTTCAATTCATGTGCAATTCGATTTTGCGTCCTGTATAGCAGAAATGTACATTTACCAATAAGGTGTTAAAATAAATAAGTCTAAAAGGTATGAAAATTGATAAGCATATGTTAAGCGATTGATTTTCAGTCGTCTTCCCGATTTCTCTATCATATGTTGCTGCCCATCACCATCATCCTGAGCTCACACATTTTCGAAAATGCCAACTACACAGGAAAAGAGAATTTGTAGAACACGGGTAGAATGGTGATTTTCCGGTAGTTCTCCAGTTTTTCACGGTCGCCTTTTTTTTTAAATATTATAATGGTCTTTGGCTTCTTTCAGGCCCTTGGCTCTTTGCATTTCATCATGAAGAGATTGAAGCAATTTTGATGATAACATTTTTGTTTCTCCCGAGCCATCTTCTGTTTTTGACTGTTTTTTTGGGTTTCAGATTTAGAAAATTGTGTTTTGGGCGGCATTCCTAACCTCATGATTTTACTCTGTACATTCTTAGACGGTTTCATTAGTTTTCATATATACAGTACCGTGCAGTAAGATATACAATTTCACTTTTTTTATCATAACTTTCTGAAAAGTTGACCAATCGATCTGAAATTTTTTGAAAACTTTAAGCATCGATAGAGTGATTATGTAACAAAATTAGAAGGTGTAAAACACATTAGGAAAAATTTTATTGACAAAAAATCCGAAATTCCATTATATCGAAAAACCGACTTGAATAATTTTGATACCGGTACGACTTGAAATGAAATGGAAAACACCAATTATCCATCAGGAAGCTTAAAACAACTCAATATCTTGTTGACATGTCATTTGCATCGATCTCAGTTTGACATCGGAGACCCATGGACTCGATCAAATTCGTGTGGGTTGAAATTGGAATATCCATCCATTCTCTCCTCGGCTGCTCGAACATTTCGAAACAATTTTGTACAGTTTGACCACCAAGACGTCTACCAAGATCATCATGCAAATGTTCAATGGGGTTCAAGACAGGTAGGTGGCTTGGTCAGACCATGACGGCCACCCGACGCTGCTAGAACCACTCTTTGATGTAGCGAGAGAAAAGTTTAGGATCATTATTCTGTTGAAATAAGTATCCACACCGAGCAAAGACTTTGCAAACGGTAGCATATGGTTCTCGAGAATGTCTTTATACGCAAAGCGATCCATATTTCCTTCGATTCGACGAAGTGGGCCAGCTCCAGAAGCAGTAAAACATTCCCAAACTATCACGCTTCCTCTTCCATGTTTCACTGTTGGTAATTGATGCTTTGCATCGAATCTTTTGCAGTCCGAACACCTCACAAAGGTAATACCATCAGTTCCGAGCAACATATACTTCGATTCATCACTCCATACAACCTTTGACCATTGTTGAACAGTCCAATTCAAAAGCTCCTTATCCCACTTCAATCGGTCGCGGCGTTTCTTCTCCGAAATGAGTGGTTTTTAGACAGAACGAAGTCTAAATAATCCAAAACAGCGTAAACGACGCTTGACAGTACTAACAATGATCTGTATGTGACTTTTGGTGAAAAAAAGTCATGGTTTTTCGGAAAAATCTACGTTGACATCATAGAACTGACTCAGTTGCCGATTAATCTCGGAAGCGGATAGACGCGGGTTGCTCTTGCTGATTCCTACAATGGTGCGATTGATTGCCGGAGATGTTTTGGAAGGATTTCCAAGTGGTTTGGAATCCGATCGAGATTTCAAATATCCACAAATGGTCCAAGTCGATGAGTTCAACTGGTGTGATAGACATTGGATGAAAAGACCTTGTGCTCGGCCATCCTTGATTGCTTTAAAACGTCTGATAGAATGTTTTTTGATCATTTTGATCGTCTCCTGCTAAAACAAATAAAAAAAACTGATGTTAACATTGAAAATCTAAAAAAAAATCGAAAAAACTTAAAAATTAAGAAAGTCGCATTTTTGAAAATACGCAAAAAAGGTCCAAAACACAAAAATTGCGTCTATAGTGTCTCAAATCAAATTAATTATGTTTGGTAACACACTATCCGTGTTGTCCAGAAATTTCAGATCGATTGGTCAACTTTTCAGAAAGTTATGATTAAAAAAGTGAAATTGTATATCTTACTGCACGGTACTGTATATATATTTCTTTTGTTCTGGGCAGCAGTCTCTTATGGCCCGCGATGGTCCTGTTGTTCATTACAGATTAGAGACCATTGTTTATTAGAGACCATTTCGTTAAACTGCAGTAATTGTAAAAATTTAGAATGGTTTTTAACCTTCGCCTAGTTTTTTGAAAATATTATTATTATTTAGACCTACGTTTGTTTGTCTTTTCAGTTTTGGCCCAAACCGGCCTCAGACATCGCAATTTTTTGTGGTGGGCTTTCGTAACGCAACTAACAACCATTTTCGAAGTTATCACGGTCGCAAAAAAATGTTGCGCAAGAGGGACTCGAACCCACGACCCCAAGTGTACAGAAAGTAGGGACCAAAAAGACAAAAGGTCCTCAGTCATTCCCCTTTTTTATTGCTATAAACGTTATGTGCCAAAATTGTTTTCATAAAAAATAAAAAATAAAAAGTGAGTGAATTTCATTTAAAAAATTGGAATTTGACAAAATTAATGGAATATGGGGCAGTAAATTGAAATATAAATTATAATTATAATATCAAAATATATAAATCAGTTTTATGCGTGATATTTTCATTTCCACATTTTGAGCCTGGCAGCATAAGACAGATTTACAGAAAGTGAAGCAATTTGTAAGAATTTAAATTCATTTCTAAATATATAACGTAATAAGATAAAAACTACACGAGATGACGCATTTTATAGAAAAACATAATCATGACACAAAATATTTAGAACTTTTTCGACTGAGTCCGGCCCCTTTACAGCCGACAAACCGGAAAGTGTTGATCGTTACAGTATTCTCAGTTTCAATCACAGATAGAGGAGAGTCCTGAATATGAAAAAGATATTTAACTTTCAATTGAATATTTTAAATCTCAGAATTTTTGGTGTTTTCTCTTCAGAATCTTTCTTCGCGATTTCCTCAGTAAACGCCGGCTTTCGGAAAGGATTTGAAACACTAGGTGATCTGAATTTGTGCGAAACTTTCAAATTTATATGATTCAATGTTGATTTACCCAGTGTTTGTGGCGAAAAATCGACTTTGACTGACAATTTTTGGTTTTGATGGCACAATTGATTCGGAATTTCTCGTAGTAAGTATGGGTGACTGGAATTTTTTGATGTTTGACGACGTTGGAGATGATTTTGTCTTTCTTAGAGCAATCGGTGATGACTTCAGAGCCGGCTCCTCTTTCTCAATTGAATTGTCAATTTTAGTCATTTCAGGTTGCGAAGATGATGGCTGTGTGGTGAATTCTGAAATATGAAAAATGAATGGAAGGCCAAATTGGGATCTCATGCCGAAAATCGCATCGTCGACTTCAGGTTCGTCGATTTTTGGTTTTTTTCGCAAACTTCGCCAACATTTCCTCTGCTGAATAGTCGATGTCTGGAGCATTTTTGCGCTTCTTCGCGGCATTTTTGACGTCGTCCATGACACACCGGATTGGAGGTAGTCGCATCCGGAAATGATGCAGATTCTCCGGAATTTCACAAAGTCGAACTTGTCGCCGCCTAGTTCACCGGTGAAACACTTTGGGAGGTTCTTCTTCTCGTAAACAGTGCATTCGCCGCTTCCCGATTGCCATTTGAAATAGATCTTCAATTGGTTTTTCAAAATTTCAATTTTTCCCGATTTTTACGGTTTCGCAGCCGAAAACAATCAAATCCGAGTCTTCCGTGATGACGGCGTCGACTAGTTCGGCCTTCATCACTTCATACGGCGCCACGACGATGTCGACATTTCTCCACTTTCGAAAAAAATGGTTTGTTTTTTTGAAGGAAGCGGCCGACCGTCGAACACCATCACAATATGACAATCATATGATAAAAGCTCTTTGATGTATTTCTCCACGTAATAGACATAACTAAATTGCATAAATTATGGTTAATTTGAAATATTCATACTCAAATTACCTTGTGGTATCTTTGCCCATATGAATTTTGTCCATACATCCAGTGAGACCTCGATGAAGAAGGCAACTCACATCAACCGCTACAGATTTTCCTTTTAATTCAATAATATTACCCTAAAAATTTATTAATTTGAGTGAAATCATTTTAAAAAATTACCGCTCTGCACGCATTTTTGACAAATGGAAGTAATCCAGAAATTCCCATCGATTTTATTCAACTTTTTGAATTAAATTAGAAAAATTAATAAAAAAAAATTAATTGCTACAGTACGTTAAAGGTAAAATCTGATTTTTCTATGTGTCTCGAAGAGGAATACAAAATATAATTTCGATTTTGAATTCATTCAGAATTTTTGGTATTAAAATTGAAAAATTTTGAATTGCGCGCCTTCAGCAGAGCAGGTTTCCAACACAAATCATGAAATAATTTTTTCGCCATATTTTGGCTGTGAATTATCATATGAAAACAGAAAATCGTTGAAAAATTATTACGATGAATATGGGTTGAATTTTGCAAAACAAAAAAGCTGGTCGAAGTTTTGGAACGAATTGACTAAATCGGCCTGTCTTTGGTGTTTCTATATTGATAACAGATGTTTGTGATATAATTCTGCTTATGAATCAAATCAGAACAGATTCATAAGAGATGATTTCCCAAATTTTCGTGATAGTCGTCAAATGACACTGTTCATTAGAAAATGAATGAAATTGGGAATTTGGCAGAGCAGTTTTTTCTTCACTATTAATCAATAAATCGACTTTTCATCCACATTCCAACGTTTCCAAGTTAAGTATTCTATCTTATTTGGTAATTTTTGATTTGCATGAGTTCTGCGATAATTGTTTATATTTTTTGGTTAAAATGAAGTTTTATATTAAATTTTTTGTTACAATAGCTCTCAGAAATCTGTCTTTGAAAATCGAAAATTTTTAAAGTCTGAGATCATGATCGAATTCGGAAGAATTCACAACTTTCAAATTTAAATAAAAAAAAATTTTTTTTATAAAAAAAAAAAAAAAAAAATCTGATGACCATTGAAATCGCGAAAAATTAAAAGACTAGTTGAAGAAAAAGCAATATTCGTTATGGTTGGCCATAAAAAGAGGGCCGATGGGATTCATGTGCCGATTAGCCTGACTCGACATCCCCTGAAGGAGTGTCGAGTCAGTTGATCTCCTTCGCCACGTAGAGGCTCGGCACTTGAAGGAGAGGCTCACCAGCATCAGAGAACCTGATGTGGGTCATCGCCGATCCCACCATGGGGATCACCCAAGGACATCCCACAACTATCATCCGAGGATAATAGAAGTAGAAGTGGTTGGGCAAGCCACGTCTGGCTGGGCCCCGGGTCTACTGGTGATATGGTAATGTGTTTTTGTCTTCATAGCAAAGTAGCACGCTACTGAAGCACTGGTCCATTATGGCACCCCCCGGAGGCTGGACATATTGACATAGCTGGCCAATCCACGTCAATATAGGTCTGGGCCAGATGCCATCCTGACTAGTATGGAGGACACCCGAGGTATAAAAATGGTCTAATTAAGGTCTTTAATGCTCTAATAAGGGAAATTTGAGTGGTTTTAGGGTTTTCAGAACCGCAAAAAATTTCTAGCCAAGTTTCAGCTCGATTGGACCACTATTGGCTGAAATTCATTTGGCGTGGTCATAAAAAATTGTTAATTTTAGGTATAAAAATGGTCTAATTAAGGTCTTTAAT